TATATATATATTTATATTTCACATATAGCACTTGTTGAAATTTCATCTGACTTCATTTTAATTGTCTGCTTTTTTTTTATGTTATTGCCATTATAAGGTGGGTTTATGGTGGAAGAGAAAACCATGAGAAAGCGGTCTTATAAAGCCTCAAACGGAATTTATACTCTATTGATGCCTCCATCCTATTGGACTGTAAAATCCTAAATGCAATTATAAGTATTTGGAATCTACCTTCTCGAGATAATGAGTGATTACTAGAGAATAATAGTATGTCTAGATTAGAATATAAATTAAACTATAACCGAGAATTATATAATTATAAAATAATATACCTATGATGATCGCAATTATCAAGAGTCATTTGAAAGAGTCTTATATAAAGGTATACCAGTTCATTACTTCTATATCGGAATGCTTGGAACCGACCAGATAAAAATTGAATCCAGACTAAATGTGGTTCAAATAAATCTTTAGCAAGTTTATAATTCTTATCCCTAGTGGCTTTGTCCGATGGTGCATACTGCATTTTATTCACAAAAGGGTCTTTTATGCTAAAAAATTAGAAAGTCAATTTAGTTGCATAAGATATATATGTGCACACTCTTTCATTTTAGTTGCAGACATCTTTATTTACTTGAGTGCAGAAGAGAATAGGCCCTTGCGATGTCGTACAGTCCAAGACCATCCGTCTGCAATTTCAACCATAACTCTCTGCTCGAATGTAGGTTTTTCATTTATTATCCAATTCCATACTTCAGTACCCAATTTAATGGATTCGGGTGAAAATAAATACACAGGAATCCATACAATGAAATGAACAAGCTCTTCTTCAAGCTAATATTAAATGGATAAAGATAAATTAACACGAAAATGGCCCATATAATAGAAACATTGGATAGGTACATACCTTTGAAAATGCAACTAATAAGCCAGCCGCCAGATGTAATGTAGAACTAAGTTCTTTTATAGGAACATTATGATTATTGAGTATTCTTTTTTCAAGGTGAGCCAATGAAGCATGAACTTTTCTTTTTTGAACTTCTGCTATATCATCAGATATTTTAGCCGGTGAGATATCAAGTTTATTTGCTACAAGAATAATTAAAAGCCAATCGACATATTGATAATAGAACATTATTCCGTTCATGTTTAGATATCGCAAACCAGCTTACCTTGATCTACGTCAGAAACCAAACAATGATGCGCACCAGTTGCTTGGCCATAAAAATGGCGTCTTAAAG